ATCCCTATATAACCCCAATATGCCAATCTGCAGCGGGGGGGCAAACCAAGCAAACGGCTGCTGGACTCAACGGTCTAGGCTATGGGAAGGTCGCGAGTGGCACCAGCGCTTCATCATTGCTGCTTTGTCGGCTCCTGAACTACCCTGTGGATGTTTGCGACAGCGGTTGTGACCTGCGCCCAAAAAGCTGCAGATCCACCAAACCCAGCGGCCTATTGCACATTGCATGCTTCTGACGAGCCTGCTCGGCTGTGCCTTCCAAGCCTGTCAGTATCGTCAAGCGGGCAGCCAACAAGATAATGCACAAGGTAAAGCTTTTAAATCTTGATTGGATTAGTGGCCAGCGCAGTATGTTACATGAACATGGCCAACATCCCAATAAAGCCCCTACACAATGCCTATATGACCCGCCTATGTAATCCCAAATAAACGCCTANNACTATCAACCCTATATATAGCCGCTAGTTGGCCCCTTTTTGCTCCCTACCTTGTATCAGCTACTCAGCTGGTCCCTGCCTATCGGCGTATCCGGCATGCCCATGACCTTGGATCCATGCGCTTTGTGTGGGACTTCCCCACAACCACGGTGTAAGGGTTTAGGGTTGAGGGTTCCAAGGTTTAGGGTGTACGTTCTCTTCCCATAAGATCGGGATTAAGCTTTTTGTTTTATACTGGGGAACTCGGTGTGCGCACTAACTAACAGAGTCACAGCCCCACAGGTGCCCAAAAGTGCATGCATCCAAGCTGGGTCCGACCCAGATTACCAAGACCATTGCCATTCTTTAATAGCGACTGTTCTTACTTCTTAGGCAGCTCTTACAACCACGACTCTTACTCTTACTCGTACTGCTACTGCTACTGCTGCTGCTACTACTCCTCCTACTCCTGCCGCCGCCACTGCCGCTGCCGCTGCTTGCTGCCGCTGCTTGCTGCCGCTGCTTGCTGCCGCTGCTTGCTGCCGCCGCCGCCGCCGCCGCCGCCGCCGCTGCTGCTGCTGCTTTTGCTGCTTCTGCTGCTTCTGCTGCTGCTGCTGGTACTACTACTACTACTACTACTACTTCTCCTGCTCCCGCTCCTGCTACTAATGTCGTTGCCATTGCTATTAGTAATGTTTGCAGTGATCACCTGAGGCATTATCTTCAAGGCTCCGACATTTTGCTTGCCAATGCTGATTTCGACTCCAGTCCCTTCCAACACCTCCAGGTGTGGACCACCTACCTACCCAGATAAGCTTCTCTGCAGCTACTGGCCGGCTTAATTTCTAAACACACGCGCCTAAGCAGATCCCAAGTACAGGGTGTGATATGTGTGGTTGGGCGCAGATCGTGCCTCGGCAATGGTTGCCCCTTTGATTCCCACCTCAGGCTGATCTTTAGGGCTTAGGGATTCTCAACTTACAGCTCCACTTGGATCCTCTGCGCAGACCAGACTCCAAGACCGCATCCTGGCGCTATCTAGAAGGCCCTAGGAGTCTAAAGAAGACGTGGTGATTGTTGGTAGGAAATGGAGGAACGGATCCCTATCAGAGCAGCACCTGTACAAGCCCAAATAGGACAGCAATCTCCATTTTCTTTGCCACCCCTATATTTGCTAGTACCACCCTAAACCCTAAACCCAACCAGCAAAAAACAAGACCTATAAACCCCCAATATACTATAGTAGTTTCCATTTGATTTTCCATTATCCCTATAAACCCCCAATATACTGTGGTAGTTTCCATTTTCTTTTCTATTATCCTCACTAGAAGCATGGCCATCCATTGGGCGCGCACAATGACGGGAATAGCTGTTGCCGGGACTATGATGACAAAGAAACCGATCTCGTTGTCCAGCAGATCCTGTGTGTGAGTGGAGCATTGTTTTTGCTTCTGATTTGTATATATATATATATGAATATGTTGCATGCAGCCATGTTGTTCTCTTTTAAACCTTTACTACAGCAAGTTTCTCACTATGTTTGATCCCCATGCTGTTCTGGTTACCCAACCTGACAGATCCCGCCAGGCAGCCATGTGGTAGGTTGTCATAATTGCGGTCCCTTTTTGGGTAGCCTAAGAATGATGGGCCATGCTAGAATGGGGAGGCACACAGAGACCAGACTTTGACAACCCACCTTATGGGGTTTAGTGCATCGTAGGTTTATGGAAGGATTGCAAGCTGTTGGTGATTATTCAGCCTTCTACATTGCTGCTTGCGGCCAATCTGTCTCCTGCTGTAACAAGTAGACGCTCCTTACTATTGGGGGAGAGGCCACTCCTGACCAACATAAATCAGCACGAAAAAAAACACCCTGAAAAGCGTAATGTTTAGGGCTTAGGGTTCATGGGGGTATCAACATCGGGGTGCCGTCTAGACAGTTAGAACAATGGAGAATTAGATCGAGAAGAAAGGTTTAAGGCTTAGTTTGGTCACCTTTGGAGATCTTATGACTGCTTTGCGAGAGGGGTCCCTGCTAAGGAAAATGTCGGTGTTGATTATCCCCTAAGCCCCAAGCCCTAAAAGAAACTCGCCGTACTCTTCCCAGGGATCCCGTGCAAGGGGTTTAGGGCGTATGGGTTTAATACCTTGGTTTTATTGTCGCTGGGTTTATGGGTTTCTTGGTTTATGGATGTAGGGTTTCCTGTGAGTATCTCCAAGCCCGGTGAGTGTCCCAAAACAGGCTTGCCTTAGAGACATACAGGTAGGACAACTGTGCAGGAAACTCCCAACGCTCAACCCTGAACCATGTCGTCCATGCAGAGCTCCTACGTCTCCCAGAACACTAAATCTCTCTAAACCCTCACATATCTTATATGTTGATATGCCCACAACATATGTGTATAGATATTCCGGGTTCTTATACTTAAGGAATCTTGTAGGCGGGGCGTAAAGAGTTATGATCTTTGTAGAGCCCAGGACATTTTGGCATCCCTTAGAAACATCGTCACAAATTTCTTGAGACTGGTCTGTAGGTTTAGGGTTGAGGGTTGAGGCCCATAACCACAACTTGTCAAAACAAAAACAGGTCCGTAGGATTATTGTGTATGGGGGAGGGGGGGGTTGGGAAAATCGGGGATCCTTTTTGTCTATCACGAGGATCATCGAAGCTTCGGGTATACAATGTCTGTTTTGGGCAAGTCCGATATCAAAATGAACATATTATTTCTAAGTAGATTGCAGAATGAATCTCAGAGCTCCTGCAGCTTCCGCAGCTTTTGGACCTCGAAGCGGGGGTGTACTTCAGTGTTTGGAGTCTCTCAATAGCAAGCCTATGAGTAAAGGGGACTGCCTAGAGGACTCATTGGTACACAAATTCTGGCATTTTTTGAAGATCGGACGCTTCTTAGTCGATCGGAACGTTTTTGGTCGGTGAAATTACGAGGCTTCAGGCCAGAAAATCAAGCTGGACAGAAATCATAACCACAACTCGGGCGCAATTTCCCGCAACTCGGGCGCAAATTTGTGCAACCTTGGGCGCAATTCTGAAAACTGTCCAGCCTTTGGTGGAAGCATGCTGACACGGGCGCTTTCTCCAAAATCGGGCGCTTTTTCTCACTGTAGAACGGACAACAGTGAGGGATGCCAGTTTGTGTATCAATCGGTCCTCCAGGTGGAGCTTCTCGGAAAAAAATACTGAAGCTGCATGATGCGCGCAAGAGGTATCCAAAGTCCAGCGCCCCAAACCCTAAACCCTAAAGCACCTACCCAGGAAGAAGATGTCCGTTCGAAAAGCTAGTCTCGAACCAAATCCTGTTCCTAGGGTGGCTGCCCACAGGTGCTGGAACAAGGCGCCACTTCTGTAGGGCGCCAAGGGGACTTGACTAAGCATATGTATAACCCCTGTACACCATATAATATAACAACAACTCTAGACACTGTAAACCTACTTGCGGAGTCAATTGGTAGGCTTAGTTTTGCGGAGGAGTTGCTCCATCAACGTGGACGCTCTGAAAACACAGGGCCCAGGAGGGACCCCTAGGATATGTACTATGGGGATGGGGTTGTGGGGATTGTGAAGGTGAATTGTGGACAGCCAGTACATAAGTATGTACACACACAACTAGGCTCGACAGCTTCCACTCATCACTCATATGCTCAGAGCCTTGAACCAAAGAAATTACAACAATTAAGAAGCACGCTGCTTACTTGCTGAAAAGCGATCATCTCCCTATCAGTGCCCTAAACAGGGACTTGAGCTGTGATCGCTCTGGTAGTATAGCGAGGTGAGATTGTTCCCTCACGAGTGGGTGTCTCATGCAAAACGGTAGCCGGCTGCTGTGCAGTGGAATTCTGCAGGGGTCTGTTTAGTTAGAATATTGTTTAGGGGCATAATGTGCTATGGTCATAAATATGATGGTTATGTACAAGGTACAATGTTGATAGCTAGCCAGGCTTCAATGTTTCTGAGGCGACTGCGATTCCCAAACAAGCTCGGGATTTCTGCTCAGCCTCCAAACCAAGAGAGCGAAGCTTACACTCCCTGCTCATCAGAATAGGGAATTGCGAATTGGAAAGACAATGGGAACTACTACATGATTGAAGATTGTGTATACTATAACATACCAAAATGCTATATATATATATATAATGACATACTATAATACACCAGAATATACCATTATGGGGGCTGCTACAGGGATCCATTCCTGCATTCCCCAAAGCAACAACCAGCCAGCAGATCAGCTCTGCATCTTTCAATAGTCGAAGTGGCTGGCTGCCAACTCAGCGCGTTCGGGATGACAGTAAGAGCAGGTCAAAGATAGAATTGGGTTTGGTGGTATATGTTATACCATAGTCCAGTAAGGGCTGTAAGGCTGTAAGGGATACCAGGGGTAAGTAGCCCTGTGCACCCTACTTGTGTTCAATGCCGCGAGCTGAGACCGCAGGACTAGGACTGCTTGAGCAAAACGAAGGATTTATTCCAAGTACAGGGTGGTATCTAACAGAGACAACTAACAGAGACAACGGAAGTAGGCCGTAGTGAGCCTGATGTTTCTGCAGCCAATATTTCAATTTCAATGCGCTCTGAGACTTCCACTCCGCCCTAGTCAAGAAAAGGATGCGGTTCTGCTTCAAGTCACTGATATCGTCCGAGATTTGGGAACTTTCTGCGAATCGCGGCAGCGACGCTGAAGATAACAATGCACGCAAGTATCCACTACGGGACATGCCATGGAACTATGTTACAATAAGTCACTGAACTGAGTCTTTTTCAGCATTCTTTGGTCTCCTGTAGCTACAGCACTCTAGCCTACAGCACTCCAGCTGCAATCTTATTTCTATGGTTGGCGATAGTTTGCCCACAATTTTGAAAACCTTCTGTGTGTTTTCTTCAGCTCGGCGAGCAGAATACAGTACCATTCATTGGTTAAGGAATATAGTCCCCCTTTAACAGATAGAATATGGCTTTGGGTAAATCATACTAAGACCTCCACATATCCCATATTCTATCTACTTAAGGGGGACTATATTTCCTAAATCAGATTAGGAAAATGAAGAGGATATAAGATAAGGGTGTTGAGTTGATCCCTAATACGGGGGGTTGTCAAAAATTCCCTGTTCGGCTACCCTAAATACCAGGCGCCGTATGATAATAGGGAGCCCAAAAGGGACCATAATTTTGACAACCACCCATATGATTGAAGGTATAGTGCTGGGCACCCTGAGACTGGAATGTAAGTCCAAAAAAAGCCTGCCTGCCCGCTGATGGTCACAATTCGATCACCTTGCTTCATGGGTTCCCCAACCATCCCCTCCCTCCCCATGGGTTCCCCCTGAATTAACCTAAATTAAGCCTAATCATCCCCAAATAACCTTCATCAAGGGGGAACCTAGGGGTGTAGTATGGAGGAGGGTAGTAGGGGGGAGAGTTGGGCAGTGGATCCCTTCAGGGTTTAGGGAGTTTAGGGTTCAAAATCTTCCCCTGTAACATGGTTGATCCCCCGAGAAAACTTGAATGGCCCACAACCGGCAGGGTCGTATCAACAACCGTAACCATAGTCACTCTCCCATCCCAATATACACCCAACATATTATAAAAGTTTCCATTTCGACCAGCAAGTCACTCAGGCGACTTGGCGTATCTCGAGTGCCGGAAACATCAATCAGAGCTCCAGTGCTGTCAGACCTTCTTAGGGTTTAGGGTTTAGGGTTTGGGGTGCCAAGATTTGCACAGAACAAGGGTCAAAGACGGGTCGCCTTATGTGCGTATACATGTTGATGTGCAGTCTTTCTAGAGATGACGTGTGTGTAAGGTTTAGGGTTTAAGGATTTAGGGTTACAACAGTGCAGAATCCAATGGTAAATACAATGGAACATGACATGGGACATGACATGAAACATGAAAGCATCCAGTAGCAAAAGACTGCAACACCGTCGTTCAAGCACTTGCGCAAGAGTCATGCCAGAGAACGCTGTAGCACTCAGCCCTGAGAGACACGCAATTGTGCCAAGATCTCATTGTTGTTGTAGGTCACGAAATCTACAGCCTCAGTGCTAGGCAAAACCCTCTCGCAGTTGATGAACGCCTCTCAAATTTGCAAGAGCCACTGAGAGTCAGCTGGAAAAGCATAGGGAGGCTTCCAAAGATCAGAGGCCCTCATCACAAGTTATAATGCATTGGGTCTATGCTGTGCCCCCCCATTCATGGAAACTCCCATCTGGCTTTGGTCGATGAAGTTGAGGCCGCAGCCTCTTGAGGAAGGAGGCATCGCCAGGGAACAGGGAAGTTCATAGCATCCCCGCCCACATGGTGTCACTGTGTTGTTGCACGTCTCGTCTTGCGTCATCCCTAAACGCACAACCCTGAGCATTGTAAAAAATCTGGGTCCCCAACTTGAAGGTTATCGATCTTTATTTTGAAGGCTATGATGCTTCTGGTAGGGACTCAGGAAATCTCAAAGAGCTGGACCCCAAATTCTTGGTTCTGGAAATACCCTCTTTGCGTGTCCGCATGAAGGATCTTCTAGTTGAACTGTGAGTGCCAAGGAAACTTGTCCAGCTGAGAAGTTGAACTCGCTAAAGATTCCCAACATAAGACACCTATAGCCTATAGCCCTTAATTACATGGGTGGTTGTCAAAATTATGGTGCCTTTTTTGGTGTACCCTAAAATTTAGATGCTGTATTATGATAGGGGTCCAAAAAAAACAACCATAATTCTGACAACCACCCACATAGAACCCTAACAGCTTCCTTTGGGCTACTCAAGCTTCTCATGAAAGGTCAGTGAAAGGTCTGAATGTAGGCTGCTACGCATACAAGAGCCTACAGGCACCTCTGGCTGTCCAAGCATAGGGTTTAGGGTTTAGGGGTTTGGGGTTTTGGGTCTAGGGGTTCCTGACGTGTTGTAGGCTCAGCGAGTGGGAGTTTGCCGAAACTATTGTTCCCAAACGGGACGAGCGCAAATATGAAATCACGCTGCAACAGGATCGCCGATAGTTTAATACCATATATATATATATACATACAGATTTGTATATACATACAAACGGTACTACACTAGACGATACAGATCCTCAAGGAAAACTGACCATTGCTGATTGGTCCAGGCACAAATCAAGACTTGAAAAGTTGAGAGCAACATGTGTGGGGTGGGACGGGGGGGATAAATATGGGGAACCCGCATGTTAGACAAGCCCATATTGATAGTGGCCGTTTTTGCTACTGCCAACGTAGCTGGACGCTAATCAGAGATCAGAGTACAGTTGAACGATAAATAGAACATCACCAGGAAACAACGAAGAATAGCATCAAAGCCTGGGGGTTCTCTCAAAGTTGGACTACCCTCGTAAGAGCGCCTAGTGCAACCACCTAAGCCCTAGACCGGATTACAGGCTCCACTTAAGAATTCTAAGGAATCAATACTGAGAAATTATCATCTCTACAAGGTTCATCACAGCGACCTACTGGTGCTTCAGGGGGAGTGGGGGAGGGAATATAGGTACCATTATTACAGAGATATGTATACCGGGTTTTTGTAGGGATTGCTATAGGGATCCACTCCCCCACTCTCCCTTAAAGCACCAGTGAGGCCGGAGGCCGCCTCTTCCCAAGTGGAATCGCCAATCATTACGAAGTCTTCCTCCGGCATGCGCTTGAATCAAGCCACTTAAGGTCATGCCAAATGCCTGGTTCATCAAGGCGGTATATAGTTGGTATTTGGTATCTGAAAGTAGGCGGGCCTTAGGGACCCGAGTATATACTGACTGCAGGGGGCATTCCCCCTGGAGAAACCAACAAAATCGCCTCGTCCAGCTCTTCGAATGCAGGCAGAACCTGTCTGACAGGTGCTTAAAGGGAAGTGGGGGAGTGGTTCCCTAGAAAAGTCCCTAAACTGGGCGGTTTGGATACTCCCTATCCATAATCTGCACATTCCTTGTCAAGGAATCCTGCTCAAATATAGTAACCATATGAGCTATAGTCTGAACTTCTAGTATCCTTAATAACCCCTATAGTAGTCCCTTATATAATCCCCCATATAACTCCCTTTAAGGAGTTTAGACTACACTAACCATATGTAACCATCCCTAAGAAGCCTCTGGGAGGTTTGTTAAGCCCCTGCAATGCCCCAAAAAGGCCTGCAAAAGGCTCCTGGGAGGCCCTAGGCCAAATGGGTAAAGTAAGAATTCCCTCATTCATCTATTTCTGGCAGCATTTTCAGGAAGAATCCTAAATCCTAAACCTCAGGCTACCACTTGACTGTAGAAGCATCGGAGGCCAGGAGTCCTGGTCAATCAACCCGTGAACTTTGCTTTTCAGAGCACAATCCCCAAAGGTCCTAGGGAGATAACACAGAAAACGTCAGAATACGTGATCCCCCAAACCGCAAACGTATAATCCGGAAAGGCCTGAAGAATTAAGGATTGCTTAAGAACCGCCCAGCTATATCACCCCTAGACTAATACCTCTATTTGCTCGCTCGCTTCCCTTAGATCTAAAGGGGGGCTACATACCCTAAACCCTAAATACTACAATCAGATGCATGCAATTGAGAGCATGAGATATCGATGTGTAAAGCATCGTTTCTGACTTCTAAATTTCATAAAAAGACTTTGGTAACCCGGACCCCTATATTGGGACCCATTACAATCATATAGGGTCCCAATTTTGGGGCTGGGGCTACCAAAGACCTCTTAATCAGCAAAAACCTTATGCACACCCTATTAGTTTCCATTTCATTTTCCATCTTTGCACCATTTGATTCTACATTATCATGGGGACTGCTACTCAAAACGTAAACCCTGAATGGCTTCAAAAGACGCATGAGCAACAGTTAATATTTCCCCCTAGAAAATTTATGGACATGGGTTGCTTATTAGGGATTATACCAGGGAGTATGCTCAACTACAAGAGGGGCCCCTATGTCCACTATTAAGGGTCCCTTAATTGGGCTACTATTGACAGTACTTGGAGGGTCGCGGGGACTTAGTAAGTGGATGAATAATGGGGTTAATTGGGGTTATTATATGGTTTATAGGGTTTTTAACCTACTTACTAAGTCCCCCTGACCCTAAACCCTAAACCCTATACTATAGTAGCTTCCATTTTCTTTTCCATTATTACTATATAACCCCTAAACCTACTTACTAAGTCCCCATGACCCTCCAAGTAGCTCACATGAGCAACCCCGCCTCTACCCAGACGGCTGGATTTTCAGCACAGTCCGACTCATCTGAGGCCTCCGGACCATCCTGCTGTCAAGCAGCTATGGTGGGTTGCTACAATACCCCCTGTATGATGCAATGGTGGGGGGTGTTAGGGATACGTAAGTTAAGTGTGGTTCATGAAATGTGGTTGGGGCCGTCAAAGTATGGGTGTTTCTTAACAACATGCCCTAGAACAACTCAACTACGGAACCATGCCCCCGTAACATCTCCACACAGAGGTCTAGGGTCGTCCTCAAAAACTCGCTTTCGACAAACTCACATAGTGACTGCGGGAGGTATGGCGCATGGCTGTATGAAGACTCCACATGAGCCGTAGTCTAAACTCCTAGTATCCCCCTTAATAACCCCTATAGTAGTCCCCAATATAATCCCCTATATAACCCCCCCTTTAAGTA